ACACACACACACACACACACACACACACACACACACACACACACACAGTGCGGAAGGTGGCTGAGAGCCGGGAGGTGGTATCCAGCGATGGTAAGCAATTTTTTTACAATATAAGTGTGAACGCGGACCCCCTCCCCTGCGGCGCCCGAAAACGCGAACGCCCCGCGGCGCCGGAAAACGCGGTCGCTCCGCAGCGCCGGAAAACGCGGACCCCCTCGTCCCGCGGCGCCGAAAAACGCAATTTTCCCCTTCCCCTCCCCCGCCGTTCTCCTCTCCTCCTCCCCCGCGACGCCGAAAAACGCGGTTTCCCTCTCCCCCTCCCCCGCGGCGCCCGAAAAACGCGGTTCCCCTCTCTCCGTCTCCCGCGGCATTCGAAACACGCGGTTCCCCCCTCCCCCTCTCCCGCGGCGACAAAAACACGCGGTTCTCCTTTCCCCCTCCCCCGCGGTCCTCCCCCGCCCGCGGTTCCCCCCCGCCTTTCACCCCCTCTCAGATCCCATGGCCTAGGATGCCCATAGCTTACCTACTGGCCGTTCTTCTGCCACGGTATCCCACGTTTCGACGTAAACCGCTGACTTCTTGGACTCCATTCCACTATGAAAATAAACAAACCGCTGAGAAACAAAGAATACAAGAACATTTAAATAAAATAAAATTATAACACTTCACATCGTTCCACAATTCTTTATTATACACATTCGAAACAACATTTTCTTTATCAATTAACGGGGTAATAATAACCCTTGCCAAACCCACCCCGCAAAGTTTGACTAGTTTATGTTTCCCCCTTGCTTAGGACACTCGGACCGAAAGTGTCCAGTCTTTCCACATGTCCAGCATTCGCCCTCTTCCTCTTCCTTCTCGTTATTCGCGCCCCTCTTCTGCCCTTCCTTTACGGTATTTTTAATAAATTTCTCACGGGTGAAACCCTCCCCCTAAATAATTTTTAAAGTATTAGTTCTCTCAACCGCCTGATACAAAGAAGTTATTCCCTTTATTTGTAACATCTGCCGGATAAAGTGGACCGCGACGGCCGTCACAAATTGTGAGCACGCGATCTTTTCGCGAATTTCATGAAGGCACTCAAGATATGCGAGACGCGACAATCTTTCGATATCAGAGCCGAAAGCGGCCAGATCTTCCCGAATCTTTGTCTGCGGTTCGTGAGGGCAGAATAATAGTTTTGCGTTAAACGCCCCTTGCCGAAACGCAATTCGAGCTTTGATTTTAGTTTCGAAAAATTAAGACACTCAATGTCTTGTCTCGTTTCGAGAATCGTGCGCGCCTTCCTTCTCAAGCTCGAAGCCAGCGCGACGGTTTTCGTCGCGTCGTCCCAGAAATTCGCTCGCGCAATTAAGTTAAATTGTGAAAAATATTTTTGAAGCGGGACCGTCCCGTCGTAAGTATCGGGCTTTAATTTGTAACCGAGCCCGACGTTTGTTCCTATGGCGGCGTCTCCCGCAGTTCAATTCGCGACATTGGCCACGTACGTACTCCCCGCTCTCGGATTCCCGACATAATCACACGCAGCACTCGCGGTCGTGTTTCTCTCGATCGGGCGTGCATCATTATCACTCGCGACGTCCGCGACCGTGTTTCTTTCGATCGGGCGTACGCCTCTCTCACTCGCGCCGCCCGCGATCGCGCTCCCCTCGCGCGCGACCCGCGTCCCTTCGGCGTTCGTTCTTCGCGTCCCCATGTTCCCGGACGCTCTAATTAAGGAAGGACTTAGCTGGAAAACGTTGGCGTTCGTCCCTCGGAGTCGACGGAGCTCCTCCTCCTGTCGGCGGATCGTTGCCGCATACACTTCGTCCCTTCGGGCCTGCTCCTGAAGACGTGCCACCGCAGCGTCGCGTTCCTTTAGCCGAGCCTCCATCTCGCTGCGAAAAAGCTGTTGCTCCTCCTGTTCCAGCCGCCGCTCCTGGCGCTGCTTTTGAAGCTCCGAGTAGTCGGCTTTGAAAGCGCCCGTCTCTGCCACCGTCACCCCCGCATCCAGCGGATGGGTCGCGCCCGCCTCCATTCCTGCGAACGTCGCGGCCTGCGAACGAGTCCTCGGCGGGGTGTGCGTGATCATCATCCTGTTCGGGACACTGCGCTCGTCGCGTTTGATCCCGGACGAGCCCCCAAAATGTTACGCTTGTCCGCCGCACTTTCGCACTTACACTCACGCGCGACGCGTACTCCGACACTCACACAAGCAAGAAAGGCTCGTTAATCAGAGAAAAAAAACTTATTTATTAATCTAGTTCGTTTGTACAAGAAGCTGGGCAAACACGTCCGAACGAGACTGAATCCCAGAGCGTAATCTGACAGGCGATATTTATAAACAACCGTCGCTAAGGACGATTCGCGACTTCTCGCTACGGGGCGACTCGTATGAGCGCTCGGGACGGTCGTACAGCACGGGCGTAACAGTATCATACTTTCCGACCTTCGTTTCCTGTATGGGTAATCGTAAAAATCTGTCGGCATTTCCATATTCCTCCGACTTGTGATATTTTATATCAAAGTTAAATGCTTGTAAGAATACCGCGTAGTGCTGCATACGCAGTCCGGCATAGCACTATATGCCGGAAGCCCTCTTTGCGGATTAAAAATTTGAGCTAACGGTTTATGATCCTTTAATAGGGTAAATCGATTTCCATACAGAAATTGGTGGAACTTTTTAACCCCAAATATAATGGCTAACGCTTCCTTGTCGATTTGCGCATATATCTTTTGCGTTTCCGTTAATGTATTTGACGCGTACTGAATTACGCGCTCTGTCGTATCATCGGGATACAGATGCGACAGGACGGCTCCTACCCCGTACGGGCTGGCATCTACTGCGAGTATTAACGGCAGCTTTGGATTAAACGGAACTAATATCTTTTCACTCCCGAATTCCCATTTAACCTTGTTAAATGCGCTCTCGCATTCTTTACACCATTTAAAAACAGTATTTTTCTTTAATAATTTATTCAAGGGGTATAGTATATTGCTTAAATTTTTTATAAAACACCCATATAGTAATTAACTAAACCGATAAATGTTCGTAACTCGGTAACATTCGTTGGTCTGGGCATTTTTTTTACTGCTTCCATTTTCTTTGGTTCTTTTAATATCCCGTTTTTACATAATATATATCCGCAATACGTAATTTAATCTTTAAGGAAACTGCTTTTATCTACATTTATACGTATGTTATGTTCCGATAGTCGCTTCAATACTAACTCTAATCTTTCTAAATGTTGCTTCATATTTTTTCCTGAAATTCTGATATCATCTAATAGTACGGCTACCCCCGGTATACCGTGTAATATAGCTTCTATTGTTCTCTGCCAAATAGCAGGTGCAGATGCCACTCCGTACATTAATCTCTTACTCCGAAATAATCCTTTATATGTATTTAAAGTGAGTATTTCTCTATCCGCTTCCGCGACGGCTAATTGTAAATCCATCCATCCTCAGTCCTATTACTCGTGTCCGAGCGTGGTGACTTCTCTTCATATACATGTGTTGCGCACGTGGATTATACACATTGTATATGGAACCTACAGTTTAACGCTGATTTCGAACGGCAATTTTTTAGAGAAGTTTTTGTGGCAAGACATACTCTCGGTGGTTTGCCATTGCCTTCCGAGAGGAGAACGAGCGAATAAAATTTTCTAGCTCTACCAGGAATCGAACCCGGGACCTTTGGCTCAATAGACCAGTGCGCTGTCTACTAGGCTACGCTCGTCTTAATTGTAAATACGCTTGTTTTAAATCTATCTTCGAAAAAATAGTGTTTTCCGACATTGACGCAAATAATTCATCCGTCGTGGACAGGGAATGGTCATCCACTATTAAAGCCGGATTCACGGTAACACTAAAATCCCCGCAAATTCGAATCAAACCATCTTTCTTTAGCACGGGCATGATAGGCGTGGCCCATTTAGACGATTCCACTTTTTCTAATATCCCGGCTTCTACCATGCGATCTAATTCTTTTCCTACTTTTTCCAGAATTTTAAACGGCACCGCCCGATTTTTCATAAATACCGGTCTTGCGTCCGGCTTCAACTTTAAATGTGCTTCGAAGTTCTTAATGTGTGCAAAATCTTCACTTAATACATTCTTATACTTTTCCAACAATTCATCTAGTTTTTTATTGTTACATGTGTCTAACATTTTAATATCCTCCACTTCTACTAAACTATTTTTAACTTTAGCTAATATTTCCAATTGATTAATCCATTCCCGGCCCAGCAACGGATCTCGGTCATATTTTACCTCATACATATTCAACGTTTTAGTTTGATCTACATCTTTTACTTTTACTGTAACGAAACCGCTTGGCACGAAATTTTGTTTGCAATATGAACGCAATTTTAAATTCGTTTTATACAACGGTAGCTTCGGAAACGTATTTTTCACCCATTTCTCGCTTACCAGGATAACCGCTGAGCCGCAATCTATATCAAATACAACGTTTCGATTTTCGATTTGGAGAGGTACCGTAAATTTCGCTCTGTGCTCGAGATGCTCTCGATCCATCACGCTGCAAACTTCCTCGAGCATATGAGCCTGGCCTTTCTTTTTGCAGACCTTCTGTAAATGTTCGAAACCTCCGCATTCTCTGCATTTTACCGTCCGAGGAAGGGTACAATTGGTTGTAAAGTGAGCCTGTCCGCACCTAAAGCAAATAACATCATTATTTTTATCACGCTTATTACAATGGTTACTCGTGTTATTATATTTAAACTTGGAAAGGTTGCTTTGTTGTGGCTCCCTTTTTGCTCCATGTTGACTTCCTTTGACTCCGTTTCGTTCTTCTTGCCCCTTTGTCTTCTTCTGTTTTGATTTCACTCCTATGAAATCAACGGTTGCTTCCGTTGGGCTTTCCTCCTTCAATTTGTTGACTCCTTTCTCCGCCATTTCCATGCCGCACGCAATTTTCAGCGCGGATTCCTTGGTAAGGTTGACCGTCTCTAACAACCTTGCCTGGATTCTCTGGTTTTTTAAACCAAAGACAAATTGATTTCTCAACTCCGTTTGCAGATACGCTCCAAATTTACAATGCAAGGACAGTTTCTGCAGAACCGCCATGTATTCTTGCGCGCTCGCTCTCCTGTGGGCCTTGCATTCTCTTTCTGTATATGTATATTTCTGCAATTTCCAACAGCTCCGGCTCGTAGAACTCTTTCAGTTTCTCTACTAACGTACCGTATCGTTGCGTATACGGATCCACTGGATCCAGCCGGTCGCACAAAATTCCGAAGATTTCCACTCCTACGAAATGTAACAGGTACGCCACTCTGTCTGCCTCCTCTCGAATTTGAAAAACTTTGAAGGTGCCTTCTAGCCGTTGTAGCCATCTTCCCAGTGGCTGTCGCCCCGGGTAAAAGACGTCGACTTGCAACGGATTTGCCATTGCCACTGTCTGCCCTGGAATCATTCCTGCCGGTGGGCTTGGTATATTTGTCCCTGTGTTCAGCATTTTTAATTATTCCTCTTTATCCTCGTCGCCAGCTGTTGTATTCTTGTATGGAATAGAAGAGGCCCGAGGTGGAAGAAAGGAACGCGTGAGAGTCTTTCTGTAACTCTGTATATTTCACCTGTCCTTCTCGGTATACACACCCCACTCGGCATGTAATATTTCAGAAACATTTCTGCAAAATTTTATTTGAAATATTACACCTTTTATCAATATTTCAGAAATATTTCACGACCGTTTCTGCAACATTTCTGCAATGTTTCAATCGGCACAATTATTTTAAATGCAACTTTGCTGAAAGATTTTGGCAATATTTCGGTAATATTACTGAAATATTTCTGAAATATATCTACGAAATATTGCAGAAACACTTCAAAGATATTTCAAATACATTTTACACTAAGAATTATATTATTATATAATTATTACATTTTATTGCATTTTTTCTCTTTTAAAATATTAAGAATTTTCTGATATTCCAAATTTTGTCATATGGCATTTTTAATATAAAATATAAAATACTTAATAATATTTAATATAAATTAATATTCGACGTTGACTGGCAAAAAAGATTTATTCGTATATTTGTATTGTTAATATTGTTATGCGATAGCTTTATGGTCACCAAAATAAGCAAGTATAAGAAAGAAAGAAGCGTCAGAGTCAGAGGATTACCACTACCCACTACCACGGTATACTACTTGGATGGGTGACCGAGAGAGCGGACTTCTTTGGACAAATGCGCGGCGGCTATACGCACATGGCTTAATATATTTTTTTTTGTTCCGGCAACAAAATATTTCATTTTTTACATATCAACAAATAGTTTTTACGTCAGTAACAAAATTTTGTTTGTTAATACAAAACATTTTTCTCAGCGTAAAATATATTTGAAATATCTCTGAAGTGTTTCTGCAATATTTCGTAGATATATTTCAGTAACATTACCGAAATATTGCCAAAATTTTTCAGCAAAGTTGCATTTGAAATAATTGTGCCGATTGAAACATTGCAGAAATGTTGCAGAAACGGTCGTAAAATATTTCTGAAATATTGATGAAAGGTGTAATATTTCAAATGGAATTTTGCAGAAATGTTTCTGAAATATTACATGCCGAGTGGATATATACATATATATATATATATATATATATATATATATATATATATATATATATATATCAAACGGTTTAACGTCTCTTCCGGAAGACGGAGCCTAGTTTTCTCCGCATCTTGCACGGAGGGGCGCGGTTTTTTTCGGAAAAAAACTTTTCCATGATTCATGGCTCTAGTGGACTCGAACCTGGTTCCTCAGATTACGAGTCTGGCGCTCTACCACTAGACCACACCGCCGCCCTGTAGTAGTCCGAGTTTGTATTGGAATTAGAAATTTGGTTTTCAATTGTTTCAAACTCATATATTTTGATTGTTGGTACATATATTCTTTCTTCTTTGTCATTCGTATTTATTAATTGTAGATATGCCCTGTCGTCTTTTACCGTAACTAAAGCATCTCCTAAGTAAATGCCTTTTGTCACGTTTAATCGTGGTACATATCCTTCTTTTAGTTCTGAATTTGCGACTCTAATATGCATTTGTGAAATACATTTTGGAGGAATAATGAAAGTTTCTTCCTTTTCTTCAAAAGGAATATAAGTATCATTCCATTCTAATTGATTTTGCTCATAATTAACTTTTACTTTAAATTGTTTAAAGAAATCTGAACCTAAAATTCCATTTTGTGGTATCGGAAAATTATCCTCGACTAAATAAAATACAATTGGACATCCTAAGATATCTATCTGTGCCAGCCCTAAGGTGGTCACATGATGCGTTGTGATTCCACTAAGTTTCAGAATTTTATTTCTGTCCACTATGGTTTCAGGTGCAATAAAATTTTCTTTAATTATATTTAGGCCTGATCCACTGTCTACTAAGAATTTTAAATTTTCCGTAAAATTTAAACTATTTAATTTTACAGATGGTACATCTTCGATGTCAGCTATATTTACTCTTCGATGTCTGATTCTGGTTCCCCCGTTGCTACTCGTGTGGGACGTATTTTGGCATTTCCCGGGGTCGTCCCTGTCCTCCGGAAATCTGTTCGTTTCCCTGATTTTGTGAATTCTGGCGGAGATTATTATTATATATACGCCTACGACATTCTTCTAATGTATGTCCGGATTTTTTGCAATACCTGCATATTATTGTTGAATTTAAATTATGATTATTTGAATTTTGCTGTATACCTGAAATTATTGGTTGTTTTTGATTATTGTTATTATTAACATTATTATTATTAATATTGTTCTGCGGATAGCCAGATGTATTTTGATTTTCGTTCTTATTATTTCCCTGAAATTTATTGATTTACCAGCATCGATCTGCTGTATGACCTTTCTTATGACAAAGTTGACAGGTTACGATTTCAGCTTCTATACGCTAGCTGCGTACCGCAGGGGGGGCGACGAAAGCGCTATCTGGGCGGCACAATTCTACAACTTTTGGGTCTTTTCGCCCTAGATACGTACCGCAGCGGGGGCAGAGGGGGCGATAAAAGCGCTATCTGGGCGGCACAATTCTACAACTTTTGGGTCTTTTCGTCGCCCCCCGAGGTACGCATCTAGCGTATACGTCGTGTTGATGCTCGTTTTTCACCGGGTGTATTCTCAGCAAGCACAACGCTCCTTATCATTTTAATTGTCTCTAATTCTTTTTCAGCATCAATCGCGCGACTCTCAACCTCTTCGAACCTTCCTTCTTTTGATATTATAATTTCCTTATCTAAACCGCGTAAAAAACTTGTTTTTAAATGATTTTCAATTAAATTTCGAAATTCTGGGTTTATCTGTCCCGATTCCCTTCTTTGTGCATCAAGTATTCGCTTCCCTAATTCTCGGATACGATTTGCATACGCGACTACTTTTTCGTCCTTTTTCTGATATAAATAAGCTAATCGTCCCTGAGTTTTATAAACTGTTTCCCTAGGCCCGTATTTAGTTCTCAAAAATTCTACTAATTCTTGCATTTTATTGAAAGTTTTCCCGAGAATTAATCTATGTGCGTCCCCTTTTAATTTGTTACGCACTGCACGAACTAAATTTATTTCTTGTGTCGGTGTGATCATGCTGAGTGCTTCCTCACAACCCTCGACAAAATATACAAAAGAAATATTTCCTCCATCAAAATTTGGTACTGCTTCTAATGCATCTCTGATTGAAAAGTACAAATAATTACCTAGTGTTCCTTCATTTATGACCGCCATTCCTGAACTCGGTGGTCGTGAACTTTGTGATTGTTGTAATTGTTGAATTACTTGCTGCTGGTGAGCCAAGGTCCTTCGTAACTCATCGATGTCCAACTCGCCTGTTCCAGTACCCGTTGTTGTTTCCGTTTCGGAAGGTGGCGTACGTGGCGTACGAATCATCGTCTTATATAGTTTAATTTACTTTTGCCACTGTTTACTTTGTTCCCTTTTACACAACCTTTATTATCCCACCGTTTTATTCGGGGAGAATTTTCTTACAACAGTTATTTAAGATCTGTTTTAAAGATTGTTGAAGTCCGAATTTAATAAAGACTGTCGGTTGATAAGTTATAAATCCAAGAAAATGATCAACTGATTGACAATAACTATAATAACTGACTCCCAATAACAACTGACTCCCAATGATTACTGACTAACGATGATTTTTCCCGCTTATTTATACTCAAGTGGCAAGAACCCCCCGCGCGAGCTTCTCACCACTTCTTTGTCTTTGAATCTTAAGGAGGAGGAAGGTCTTATCAAAGTGTAATTCTATGTCCTGCGAGCTGCGGCCTGAGAACCGTCTCTCCGTCGGAAATCGGATAATTAATCAATATTCCAATAATCAATATCTCTCGTTTACATTCCTGGCTATTTAAAGATTGAAATAAATTTTGCTCGCACGTAACACTGCAAATAGGGTCTGGGGTTTAGGAGAAAGATTATGTAAAGATGATTTTAGTAGGAGATGGACGCTTTTTAAGTACCTCGTGAAAAGTGTGATGGAATACGGAGCAGAGATATGGGGGTGGAGTGAAAAAAAGAAGTTGGAAAAAGTCATGTTGGATTATGTAAGATGGATATTTAGACTAGATTTTTGCACTCCGAGGTATGTAATACTAAGGGAACTAGGATTAGAGAAACTTAAAATCTGTTGGGGTATAAGAGCCATGAGGTTCGAGAAAAGAAATAGAGGGAAAAAAGACGGAAGTTTAGTAAAGGCATGTTGGAATGAAAAGGACACAATGGGTAAAAAGAAAAAGGATTTATTTAATTTGGAACGAGAAAGGTTTTATAATAACAATGGAATGAAATAATGAAGGTATAAATACTGAAGGCTTAATAAGAAGGGAGGGCTCCATTTGCCTACAAAACGATTGCCTACAGGTTCGATTGCACACACTTATT